CCACACACCCTAACAAATCTCAACAACTTGGCTCTAGTGCTGCAAAAGCAACGAAAGTACGATGAATCCGGGGCTATGAATCGGCGTGCACTTGAGAGGCAAGAGAAGGTTCTTGGACCAGACCACCCACACACCCTAACAAGCCTCAACAACCTGGCTCAGGCACTGCAAGACCAAGGAAAGTGCCACGAATCCGAGGCCATGAGGCAGCGCGCACGGCAGAGGCTGCTAAGAATCTCAGACCGGGCATAACTGTAATTTCCTTGCTCTATTGCACTTTACCTTCGTCAGACTGCACCCCTCGGCAAAGGCAATTGGCTGGCAGCGCGGTTCCTCATTACCTGGGATGCGGTTTGGTTGGAAAAAATGTGTCATGAGTGGGCTACTAATTTCTGCTCTTGTCGGAGCCTGTGGGGACCTGCCGCGGAAGACGGGGCAATGTGTGGAACTAGCAAGACGAATGCGTTGGCGGCACTGGCTGAATTTTCGAATCGTTGTGTCCGAGGAAGTATTCGCTATTGACTTTTCACTTTTTATTTTCTATCATTTCTGGTCTCCTTTAACAGTCCATTTGCCTGTTTTTAGTAGTGAATCGTATCTTGCGTTCTCCCACCCCGTGGGATCCTGGCAGCCCTCTTTTTTCAGCCGGAATCATAAGTAGTCACTCGCTTGTCCATGCCGTAACCCCTCAACTTGTAGGCACGGACCCACGATCAGTGTTATGTAGTACACTATGCTCGACCAGCTGGCAGCTTCCCGGCGGTTTTCCCAGGACGCACTTTACAGCCTTACATTACAAGATACTATAAACAATCAGCTATACGTCTATTGTCTCGTCCATGGCTCAGCACAAGGCCCAAAGCCAGATCCGACCCTTGATAGCACGAACCCTCGGTCGCGATCTGCCCACTTCCTTCTCTTAGGACTGAAGAAGTACTTCGCTGTGGGCGCCGCAAAGCGGCCAAGACCCCAGCATGTTGAAAAATGATTGATATGGAGGTACTGATCAACGGTGAGGGTTTACGCAGTGGAGTAGAATCGGGCGAGTGGAGATGCGAGGTTTTGCTCAAGTGAAGCGGAAGACCATGATTTATTGTTCAGAGATGACCGAGAGGAAGAACGTGAGGAGAAAGGTAAAGTACACGAAGTGGTTGTCTTGTCTGCGAGAACAGAAGGGGAGAAAAGACAGGGATGAGAGAGATTTTCATGGCTTATGCGTCCTTCCGCAGACCGGACATATACTACTGAAGCCTCAATGTGTGAGCACATCCCGCACCAAGTGCGGGCCCATCAATTGCTATTTCCAACACAACAATGTTGTCAGTATGACATAGGACACGGTGCTAAGACTTCCTGATAGGAAAGGAAGAGCTGCGAGACGATCGGGACAGAGTGAAAGAAGAAGGATATGCCGAAATGAAGGTCATGAGATGGATATAGTAGACCGAGCCGAATGAGTTGAATTGGGGTGAAGGATTGCTTCATGGGATCCGAAGTACTTGTATATAAAGGTAGCTAACTACCTGGTGTCTGGCAGAGAAGCAGGAGTATGAGAATCGGCGACGGGTGTGACGAATGATATTATCTCTTTGCTCATCAAGAACTTCTATTTCTCTCCCGTTTTACAACAGGTTATGAGCCCGGAATAGTGCTTCTATTCTCAACCTACGGAACAATTATCCAACAGTCTATCTACCTCTGAGTACACCTACCCCGAATCAATTGTCATCGACCTTTCACATTCCTTTTGAATCGAAGACCCGAGTCAACTTCGATCATCACTACTGCCATGAGTGTAGCCCAAGGGAGTGGGGTATACAAATGCAAGTATGGTAGAACGGCAGAACTCACCGATCAAAACTATCACCAATGGCGACGCGATATGGAATTCTTTCTGAACGCCGAAGGAGCCCTGGATATCGTCCTTGGAAATGAGGTTCTAGATGATAGCGGCTCTATCAATCCCGAAGACTTCAGCAGACGTTCCAGAAAGGCTGCTGCCATGATCCATGCCTCCTGTAGCTTGACTGTCAAAGCTTATATGGATACAATGAGAGACCCTTTACTCATGTGGAATGAGCTGAAGGCAAAACTAGACACCGCAAACTCTCTGGCCGGAAGGACTGCGATACGCCACCGATTCAACCAGCTTCGAGTAAAACCGAGAACTAGCTTGGAAAACTATATAGCCGAACTAACGAAGTGCAAGAATATGTTAGCTAGCTCAGAGCAGGCCATTTCTGCTGAAACCTTTCGATCTCACCTGACTACGACTCTTACACCCGAATATAATTCAATTGTTGATATCATTATCCATCAGGCTCCTGAACGGCAGACTACCGACTACGTTATCTCCACCTTAGTTGAATGGGAAAACACACGGCAAGCGCGGAAGGCTGAGGTTGGTTCCAGTGCGAACATCGGTAGTACTATGAATACAATAAATGCCTTCTGTGCCCATGTAACGGTGTCTAGTAATCGAGTCCACTTCCGCGGAAAGACAGGGAGAAGACATACGAGTGGAAGAAGTACTCACTTGACCTGCTGGTACTGTTTGAGGAAGGGCCACAAGCAGGACAATTGCCATCTTAAAAAGAGATCTGATAGTGCTAGGAATGAGCGCTTGGATAAAAGGAGAACTGGGCCAGAAGTGAAAGAAAATGAGAAGAAGGTTGCCTCCTTTACCTCCATTCGTGCACAAATCATTAATCTCGATCGACTATCATTACTCCAGGACTGGGTTATCGATTCCGGAGCAACACACCACTTGTGTCGAGACTACCGCCTGTTTGTTGAATTGAAGCGCCTCGAAAGACCAGTGACAGTCCATTTAGGGGATAACTCTACAATTCCAGCTACTGGAACCGGTGTGGTGCATCTGGCATTACCATCTCAGACGATCACTATCGAAGCCCTATACGCACCAAGTCTTCAGATCTTCTTATTATCTGTTAGTCAGTTATCACAGCAATTTCTGATCTCGTTTAGAGAATCATCCTGCTTTATTGGAGACTCTCTGCTGGGAACGCTGGACAATGGGCTTTACCGCCTAAATCAGAAGCCAGTTATTGCAAATACCGCCATTCTTCCATCCATTGATCTTTGGCATCGACGATTAGCCCACATCAATCGTCAATCCTTGAAGTCCTTGATACCTGATACAGCATATATAGAGACCGAGGCTGGTAAACCTGAGGAGACTTGTGAGATCTGTGTCAAAGCCAAACACCAGAAAAGGATAGAACGAAAGCTGGTACCAAGAGTCACACGTCCCTTCCAACTCATCCATTCAGATCTCTGTGGGCCCATAAGCCCTGAATCCATGACAGGCCTACGGTATTTTATACTATATATCGATGATTACTCGAGGTCAACCGGGACCTATTTCCTTCGCTCAAAGAATGCTGTTGAAGTGGTTTCAGTATTCCAGGAGTTTATGGCCACCATAGAGAAACTATTCCCACAGTATCCAATTGCTCGGTTCAGCTGCGATAATGGAAAAGGCGAGTACGATAATAGCCTTTTCCGAGGAATTTTGAGAGTGTCAGGAATATTATTCGAGCCATCGCCTCCCTATACGCAAGACAAAAATGGGGTTAGTGAAAGGATGATACGAACTATCATAACCAAAGCTCGTGCCATGCTCTTAGATTCCCATCTTGGAGAAGAATTTTGGGCTGAAGCT